TCAGAACACTCCACGATATAAACAGAAGTACGATTTTCATTATCATTGGAAACGGTTACACGGCTCACAGCCATTACATTCATTTTAAATAAACCATTGTCGAGATAGCCAGGACCAAGGAATTTACCATACTTGCTAAGAATAAGCTTCTTAGCTTCAAACACTAACTTAAAACCATGCTCTACAAGAAGAGATCCGGAGACCAAATTCTTGCGGATGTCTGGGACATGCAGAACATCCTTAAGCTTCAACTCCTTTCCAGAAGTCAGCTTCAGCACCACGATGCCAACTCCAGCAACATCAGACAAGGAGGAGTTGCCCATGTGGAGCTTCCGACCATTTGAAGGAGTGTATTCAGAAAACAACCCCTTGTCGGAACACCCGTGGCGAGTGGCACCAGTATCAATGTACCACGCCCTTGGGTTATCCACCAAATTGGCTTCAAACACCACAGCCGACATATCCATGTCGGTTAGTTCACTCGGCACAGGGCCGTGTTCAGCAATGAGGGCACCATGTTGTGCCTTCTTCAGACCAGCCTTTTTAGGCTTCCTGCAGTCTTTAGCCATATGGTTCGGCTTTTCCACAGTTGTGGCAATTACCGGTAAATTTCCACACTTTGGCAGGCTGCTGCTTCCCTTTGTTAAGGGCTTCCTTTTGCTCGAGTTGCCTTGCTCCAGCAAGTTGGCACGAGCTTCCATCATCGGGGCCTTCCCCGAAGACTTCCGATTGTCCTCTTCAATCTGAAGACGAACAACCAGATCTTCAAGACTCATCTCCTTCCTCTTGTGCTTGAGGTAGTTCTTGAAGTCTTTCCAACCCGGCGGCAGTTTCTCGATCACAGCCGCAACTTGGAATGACTCGCTCAGAGACATTCCTTCAGCATGAATGTCGTGCAAGATGAGTTGGAACTCTTGCACTTGAGACACAACGGTCTTAGTGTCGACCATCTTGAACTCCAGAAATTTGCCGACGACGAATTTCTTCGCCTCGACATCCTCAGTTTTGTATTTCTTCTCCAAGGCAGCCCAAAGCTCCTTGGCAGAGCCAACCGAGCTATACACATTGTATAACTATTTACTCAGTCCGTTGAGGACATAGTTTCGGCAAAGGTAATCACCTTGCCCCCAAGCATCGTATGCAGCTTGCAGCTTAGCATTCGATTCATTTTCAGCCACGACAGGAGGGTCGTCTTTCAGGTACTTCACCAAACCCAATGTGGTCTGGTAGAAGTGCATCTTCTGTTGCCACCTCTTGAAATCTAGCCCGTTGAATTTTTCGGGCTTCTCAGCAGTGGGAACATGAACAACAGGTTGGGGATGATGAACAGCGGGGGTGACAGGTGGTTGAGTTTTTGATCCTTCTCCAGCGGATGCCATCAGTTCAGTAGGTCAGCTTTTCGTCTTGCGATTGTTACACAATGTGTGTTTAAATTACAACGGGAGCCTATGAACTGAAGATGATGATTTCAGTTCTTACAAAGTGAACTAAAACAGAATCGAAATTACAAAAGAGAAGCGAAAAAATTACCGAGGCGATTGCTCTTTCCGCAAGACGAAAACGCCCCGTATAGTGCTGACGAGTACAGGCGTCTCGTCTCCAAAGATACAACGGCTTACGTCTCGAACGCTGTAGCACACAGAATTCGAGCTCCAACGAAATGGAATGAAGTCGAGAACAAAGCAGTATGATATGATGCGTGAGGCTTTGAGAATAATCAGAGTGCATGAATGTTGTGTGTATCTCACTTGCAGCTCTAAGTCCTATTTATAGGACTTCCACCTCTGAGGGAGAACCAGGAGTCACAACAGCCACTTAAGGTTGAGATAAAAGGCACCATTAACATCAAAACGTTTCAGGTGTTAAAACCTCATTAACCAGGAGTTAACACCATTAACCCTTCATCACCTGAGCTGTTACATTTCACATGAAGAGTCATGTGTCCAGGTTCATTGTACTGGAGAGGTTTCACTTAGGTTGGGTCAAAACCCGAGTCCAAATCCAACTAGAATTGGATTTTTCAATTGGGCCTAAAGTTGCAAATAAATTTGCAGCAAAAAGATATATAGTGATTGGACCCAAGGCCCAACC